TTTCTAAAATCCTGTACGGTAAGAGCTACGCGCAACAGCTTCGTGCTCTTTCTGAGTGGTTTAAAACCTCGGTTCCGCCTTGGGCACCACTCCTCCTATGTATCCTCTGGATACCTACTTAACAGGGTGTTGCTACTAAGGGTCTGTTGAGACAGTTCCTTCAGCACATACAAAGAGAAACGTGCGGTAGCCCCTGTGTGACAGGCCAAGACTAGTATGATTCTAGGCTCTTGGTCGTATTCCCTTAAAGGAATCTATTTCTGATTCCAAGCCTTGAGCTCTACCCCGGGCCCAGGAGTCTGGCCCTAACAGGTAAGTATTTTGGGGTATGTAGCCTAGGCCTTTGGCCGTAGGGAATAACGTCACTGACAGCCGTCTAACGTCCCAGGGGCGACTCCCATAGCAATATGGTAGAGTTGGTACTTAGTGCTCGCCATGGTTCTGGCTTGCACTCCCCTCAGCATGGTGGCGTGGGTATACCGTTCCCCATAGCGACCCCTAGAGGACGCAGTTCGAAGTTCCCATGAAAGGGAACGTCTCAGGTTACTTATGTAACCATGGTTCCCTGAGTAAGGAACGAGACACTGCGTCCTCTAGGTTTCTTGCCATGCTGCGGACGCAAGCTTCAGATGAAGAAGTGAATGATGTGTAGCTCCCGGCGCCTATTTGTACTATAGTCGCACCGGTAGTGACGTCATGGCTGTCGCCAGCCAACGAGTTGGTGTTTTTTTCAATGTATGCTTCAGACACGGGTCACGACGAGGCGTTCCCCCATAGCGACCCCTAGAGGACGCAGTGTCTCGTTCCCTACTCAGGGAACCATGGTTACATAAGTAACCTGAGACGATTTATATTATTTTAATGGAACGTCACAATGCAAAAAAAAAATTTAATAAAAATTACAAACCTTTCAGTCTTACAAATAACCTTTATTTCTGTTATGCAAAATACGGTCTTGTATTTCTTATGATGTTAGGTTGAAATATGACATATTTTAATTCTAGATTCACAGCCTCCTTCTTAAAACCAAAGCTACTAATAACATGTTGGTGAATTCGCGGGTGGAGCTGCTGATGGGAATGTTGTGGTTGTGATTTCGTGAAATGAGTTGTTTGGTGTCTGCGGGCGGCATACAGATCGAGTGAGCCTTGAGTTAGTGGTCGAGCAGAACGTTTGGAATGTTCTCTTTAATTAGAAAGCATCGAGTGAAGTTAGTGGAGGGGAAGAAGTTCATGGCTACTTACTGAAAGTCGGAATGTCGTCGGCTGGATCGGCGCTTTCGCCATTGAATTAAAAGCCTTTTAATTAAAGAAAACTTGTGTGAGAAACACTGTGGGAAAAACACTGTTACTGCTGTACAGTAATATGCAAGAGGTGTATTGGGGGTAATCGCTAAGTGAAATTAAAAAGTGAAATAATTTGCAAAAAATTTTAATTGCTTTCCACCATTTTTTTCATGGTCACCCTCAATGCCAGCCAAAGTATTGTAATTGCCACCACACTGTTAGATAAAAAAATCAAAATAATCTAGTTTTCTGCTGCAAATCTATTATTACTATTATATTATATACTATTATAACTATTAAAAAAACATTAAACATATTAAATAGAGAAAAGTAAATATTGCATTTCATCCAACTGTATTATATTACAATCTATTAGATTTTAAATAATTACACAAGCATGTAAGTAATGTTTTAAAAAATGTAAATTATTTTTAATCAAATTCACTTATAGTGTTTACAAAAAAAAAAAAATGTTAAAACAAAAATCTCCCCCCCCCCCCCAATTATTTAAAACGTATTCTAAAAAATATAAAATATATATATGTATCAAAATATATCCTTCAATGTCCACTAAAGGCGTTCAAACCTTAATTGTGAGTAGTGATATTTAATATGTCTTAGCCAGCAAGCTCTAACAAGAAGAGTGTTCTCTTAATTAAAGCTTTGTTTTCATTGACAGACAAATCTGTGTTCAGAGTCACAATTATGTGTCCCTGATGACAGCAGTGGTTTGGACGCCATGCATTTCATTTCATTTTCCTGGTGTACTTGATCTTTAAGAGAAAGTTTTTGGGTACAGTTGAATGGAAGTGTTTTTGACAGAGAGGTAACAGCTGTGGCCACTTCACATTTACACTCTCAGCCTGTCATGAGCCGTCAGCCAACTGCTGCTCTTCAACACTGCTTTCTGCCAGAAATTGCACATGCTACTTATTTATTTATTATTTTTTTAATATTAGGCAGCATGTACACTGCACAGTGTTCAGCATCCAAATATGCTGGTATCACAATTTAAATGTATTAGTGTTGCCATTAGTGTGAACTGTTGTCTTCTACAGACAGTTTTCTGTGGAGCAATAGTTTGAGGAGAATCTTGCTAAGCAAGTCAGTTACACTGTTTATGACTTTCTACCTGAATAACACATCCAGTTTAATGCCACAGACGTGCTTGCAGTGCATTTTCATCCTTGCATAGAGGATGTTTCTGTTGTGTGCATCTGTGCGTAATGGTGCGTGTTTCTGTCTGGCAGGGTGGACATGAGGTGAAGTTGCCTTTATTAAGTGATGGTGTGATTTGAGCTCTCACATGCGTTTATAGAGTCAGGAAATGACCCACTCACAGCATTCTCAAATCACACATGCAGAGAGAGCAGTGTGTGTGTGTGTGTGTGTGTGTGTGTGTGTGAGAGAGAGAGAGCTCTCAACGCACAACACCTGCGGCATGTTTCTCCTGGAATTAACCTTCATCTGAAGGTGACTCTTTGATGGGGTTCTGTTCATCACATTCTATTGCTGTTTCAAGACCTAGTGAGCATACATACTGTGTGCTTAAACACACCCAAAATGCAAAGCTGCTTAATGAGATTTTAGGATTTATTTTTAAAGATTCTATAAGGTTTTAGCCTTGGTAACATTATCAAGCAAAATGACACGCAACAGTGTTGTTGTTCTGAATATCAGCACGGCTATAAATACCTGTGACCGAATCACAGCCATGCTGATATTCAGAACGGCAACTCACTTGCTAGTGTGATATTGCTATACAACAACAATAAACAAGAAATTAAAATTGAGTGACTTTTAATTTAGCCAAATTGCTGCAGTTAAAATTCTAACTTCCTAACAAAGGTCTCAGGATTCATTCCTGTTTCATTCCTGAATACATATAATAAGTATTGTAAATGGAACTGGTTGAGTAAATGATTCAATGACTCACTTAACTTAAATAGCAAAACATGAACTCTGATGATCTTATTTATTTTGTCTTTGGGTTTGGTTAGGGGTTGGGTTTGAGGGGGGTTAAAGTTTCCCCCAAAGTAGCGCAATGACCATGTCCCATATCAAAACTCAAAATATAGCATTTCCATACCTAAAATACATATTTTACAGACACCGTTTCGCAGATTGATCATAAACACAGTTAAAAGGCTTTTTACCAGTGGCCATCCTTCACAAAACTTAACATCTACCACAGTTTTATCATAGGTAGAATGCAAAATGTTTTAATACATGCATTTCAGTCAGATGTAATGTATGCAATATTTCAAACCTAAGTTTAACCAAAGACTATAGAAAAGGGGCTGTAGTTTAACTTAGGTTTGAAATATTGCATACATTACATCTGACTGAAATGCATGTATTAAAACATTTTGCATTCTACCTATGATAAAACTGTGGTAGATGTTAAGTTTTGTGAAGGATGGCCACTGGTAGGAAGCCTTTTAGCTGTGTTTAAGATCAATCTGTAAAATGGTGACTGTAAAATATGTATTTTAGGTATGGAAATGACATATTTTGAGTTTTGATATGGTAATTG